GGTGGCATTAAAGAAGCAAAAGTAGCCTATGTGTTCTTCCAGACTATCATTTACGTCTATGCCAAATTTCATCGAAATCTGTTTTGTCGTTTTGGCTACAAACTCTAACAAACATCCATCTAAACTTTCGCATTTATAATATTAGTAAGAAGTAAGATTTAGTATTAGATCTATACATATAACAGAACTGTAGTGTCTGTTTGTAATATCAAAAAAAATCCATATTTAGGGAAGTATTTCCCTTGCTGATAACTAAATTGAATTTGAAATCTAGATATAACCTTGATATAACATACATACACTTCAATCTATAAGATTATAAAGAGGAAAGATTTGTATTTTTGTATGTATTGAAATAAGTCAAAATTTATTGAACCGATTTCAAACATTCTTTCACCATTATAAAGATACACTATCAGTGAGTAACATAGGCTATGTTTATTAATTTGACAAGGACGAAGAGACAACAGCTAGTTTCATATGTAGACTAGTCATACTAATATAAATGCGAAAGTTTAGATGGATGTTTGTTAGAGTTTGTAGCCTAAACTGCTGAACCGATTTCGATCATTGGTACAGATGTAGAGGATAGTCTGGTAGAACACATAGGCTATTCACTTTTGTTTTTTTTATTCCTCGCGGACGGAGTCGCGAGCGAAATCTAGTATTAAGATAAAAAAGCCTATCTGTCAGCTACCCTTTAGTGAGAGTGCAGTCGAAATCGGCCCAGCCATTTCCGAGATTATGCGAAACAAATGCGACTTGCAGACAGATAGACAGACAAACAGACAAAAAAATTTAAATGCGATTTTCGTTATCAGCAACGAAAATATATCATCTTCCAGAAACCTAGAATTATTCTTTTGACATTACAGACACACCAATTTTATATGTATATATATATATAGTTGATATCGCTCACCTCGTCTCCGTACAGGGAGTTCTTCTAAACGCATCTATAGCGACGAGCCGCAGCGGCACCGGCAGCATGGCGTCGCCGATCACATTCAGCAACACATCCGCGAACTCGGACTTGAAACCTCCGATGTTGCCGAGAGATTTGATCGCGTACGTCATCTGAATAAACAATATTGACTGATATAGAACAAATCTTACTTCTTACTAATATTATAAATGCGAAAGTTCAGATGGATGGATGGATGTTTGTTAGAGTTTGTAGCCTAAACGGCTGAACGGATCTCCATGAAATTTGGCACAGGTTTAGAGCATAGTCTGGAAGAACACATAGGCTACTTTTTATCCCGGGATAAGTTACGGTTCCCGTGGGATTCATTAATTTAGGTTTTTAATGTTTACTCGATAATTCTGCAACGGTTCAATATATCTTATTGAAATTTGGCACAGATATAGAACAAAGTCTGGAGTACACATGGGATGAGGTTCATTCCCGAGAAATGTCCGGTTCCCGAGGGATACGTAGCTTTTTGTAATTTATATAGTTCGTATGTTTTCTTATACTACGGGGACGAAGTCGAGAGCAACAGCTCGTATTAGATATATTATACTATCCTCTTCATCTATATTAATATACTAGCTGTTCCCGTGCGACTTCATTCGCATGAAATAATGAAAATTGTTTTATTGATTATATTTGTCAAATTCAATTGCAAATGTCAAAATGACATGAAGACAAAGCATGGCAATTTTGCTTTCTTGATGTTGGCAGCAACTTATGTTCTCTATCCCACATTAGGGTTTTTATCCAAAATATTTACCTCCTAAGTTTAATGGTGTTAAAATATATAGCATAAAGCGTGACGTAAGTGTAGGGCTTTTTATTATAAAGATATTTATTCTAAAATTTGCTGACATCTTAGGCAACAAAGAAGTGTGTGTTTACGCTTTATTATAATAGTATAGATGCCAGTAATCACAGCATATTTTTAAATAATTCTTTCTTTTATAAAAATCCCTAACGCAAAAACTTCTGGGCTGATTTTAAAAATTCTTTCACTATTAAAAAGTCAACATTATCAGTAAGTAACATAGGTTATGTTTTATACTATTTTTATTTGTTGGGGGACGAATATTTAATTTCAGGTTACCTTGTTCCTATCATTGCGGGTCGCATTTTGTAGTCCTTTTCCAATTACTTCCATAACTATATTTTGAAACTCTTCTAATATTTGCTTTGGAATTTCTTCTTCGCAACATTCTTGCACTGGAAATAACATTTTAATAGATATTTATTTATTTATTTATTTATTCATATAAGTATACACAACAGCTAATTTAATCACACAATTACATAGGAAAATAGAACAAGTATACACAAAACAGATAAATTAGCCAACAGGTGCATAACTACATTGTAACAAACAATTTGTTGAGGTTAATTTTTCTATGTAAGTACATAAATATACTTATATTTATATTATTTACATTTACAATTTCACAGAAAAACAAAATATTGAAAAGACCTTTTTATTTTACTATATTGATGTAATATTATTAAGAGGAAAGATTTGTATTTTTGTATGTACTGAAGTAACTCAAAAACTACTGGGACGATTTCAAAAACTCTTTCACCATTAAAAAGCTACGTTATCGCTGAGTAACATAGGATATAGTTTTGAATTTTTGTGAACAAAGTCGCAAGCAACAGCTAGTTATTAAATGTAATATAATTATTAAAAAATAAATTACATAAATCGGACCATACATATCAACACAAAAAAAAATTATAACAAGTAAAAATATATAAAAACGATACTTACATGATTTCCCGCTGTGCCTGCAGTAAGAGTGGAGCATAGAGGAAACAGTAAAACTGACGATTTTATCATTCTTCTCTTTCTGTAGTAATTCCAACATGCTCTTTAACATTTCTATTCTAGGCCTGCAAATATACAAACATGTAAAACATTTGAAGGAAATAGATTAAAAATCTTCGTCGAATTGCGGAAAAAAAATCGAATTTTGTACAAGATTAAAGCATATTTAGGTTGGTATTTTTATATTCTCAGTTACTGTATCCATATCTATCTATACTAATATAACAAAGCGTTAACACACACTTCTTTGTTGCCTAAAATGTCAGCAATTATAGCATATTTTTGAATAATTCTTTCTTTAATAAAAAACCCTATACTTACGACACGCTTTAGGCTATATATTTTCACACTATCACACTTAGGGGGTACATAAATTCTAAAAAACTCTAATGTGGGAAAGGGACAAAAACTACAAGCTGCCAACATAAAGGAAGCAAGATTGCCATGGTAATTGGTATCCAAAATCAAAGGCCTTGTTCATTTGACTTTTGACATGTAGTTGAGAATTTGACAAATATAAACAATAGAATACAATTTTTAAATTGATAACCTAACCTGGGTATCATAGCCATGGACATGAGCCATTCATGTCTTGTCTCCTTATCAACATCTTCATGTATCACCTTGTCTTTGATCAGCTCCACCGAGCCCGCGCTCGCGATGTACGGCAACGCGTCCAATATATGTTTACTATTAATAAAACATTTAAAACACCTTAAATTACGATATATATCTATATCATTATAAATGCAAAAGTTTGGATGGATGTTTGTTAGTGTGTGACTTAAACTGCTGAACGGATTTTGATGAATTCTAATATAGATGTAAAGCACGCGGGCGGAGTCGCGTGCGAAAGCTACTGTATTATCAGAAAAGATTTGAATTTATCTCAAGTCAAAAACGACTAGACTGAATATTTGACATTAGAGAGCTAAATTATCGCTTTGTAACATTTATAATTACCAGTTGATTTTAATTTATTTCCACACAGACAAAGTCGCAAGCTACAGCTAGTGAATTGTACTTTGAATCAATATATAATTTCAAATTTCATTAAACACAGAAATGTAACACTTTTATTTTGAACCTGTAACATTATTAAGAACGTTTATTAACAAAAACCGCCACAACTTAACAGGTGGGATCGTGGTCAAACACTAGTTTATACTTTAATTTCTATACAAAAGAGACAATAAATACATTAGTAAAAGAAAAGCTGCCTTTGTTACTTCAGTTACATATTTAAATGAGAAATCATCACTGAGGAAGTTTTTAAGTTACAAGAGAAGTGTGTAGTGTAACAGAATAGCGCAGTATACTGACGCAGCGGCCGGGCAGATGGCGGGCGCGCGCGCCAGCAGCTGCGCCAGCGCGGGGTGGTGCAGCGAGCGCGCGGCGCGCACCAGCCGCCCCCACAGCCCCACTACCGACCCGCTGTCCATGTTCTCATCCACGCTGGACGCAGCCTCGCCCGTCTCTTTCACTCTAATACACAAAATATACTAACGTAAAGAAAACCTCCTAATCTTTGAAGACAAAGACATTTAGTGTATACCTAAATTAGGGATAGTAAAGAAATTTTCACCGGTAATTTCTCTGACAGGTAACATCAGTTATCAAGTTTAGTACATAATATTACACTATTATAATAAAGCGTAAACACACACTTCTTTGTAGCGTAAGATGTCAGCAATTACAGCATATTTTTGAATATTCTTTTTCTAATAAAAAGCCCTACACTTACGTCACGCTTTAGGCTATATATTTTCACGCCATTAAACCTAGGGTGTAAATATTTTGGATAAAAACCTTAATGTCGGAAAGAGACCATAAGTTGCTGCCAACATAAAGAAAGAAAGATTGCTAAGGTTTGTCATGTCATGTCATTTTGACATTTGCTATTATAATTTGACAAATGTAAACAATAAATAAAATTTTCATAATTTCATGCGGATGAAGCCGCACGGGAACAGCTAGTTATAATATAAAACAATTTAAATATTATTTAATGACACCTATTGACAACTAAATTTAAAAAATGTTTAATTTTAAAAGTTACAGTCGCTTGAACTTTTTCTACGCATTGAATTAATTCCTCTGAATTAACCAAAGATAACTAATTTTATTCAACTTATTTAATTGATACTGTCGCTTTAAACTCAGAGCAATACTTCTCGTCCAGACCCAGGTTGCGCGCCAATCTATCCATACTTCTAGTGACATTGACAGCTGTCAGCTAGGGACGTGACGTTTATGCCGATAATCTAGACTTGCGCCAACTCTACAGCACGGTACTAATTTTATTCCTAACACTAATAGGAATTAAAAAAAATGTAATCACTGCATAAACACAACCAACTGCTGTCTTATTGGGTACTTGTAATTTACATTTACATTACTAATGATAATTTTATATAGAAAAAATTGTAATCGGTGATAAATTTTTTTGTCAGAAGAAATGCAATATGTTCCTAGCCTTATATGAAATCATAAATTTGTATGAATTGAAATTGAATTAATATGAATGAAAAATCCCACATTAAATGTCCCATATTACTAAAAATATTGACATTAAAAATTAAAAGTCTAAATAAATATTAGCTTATTAACTATTTTTGATGTATTCTGTATTCTTAAAAGATTTTAATATGGCCGTCCGTCTATATTTTAAAGGAAGTTATTTGTGTCGAAATATCTAACAAATAACTCACAAACAGAGCATTTTTAGTACATCTCTCGCAGACCTCAGTTCCCCTGTATCACCTCTGTTATTTGGTACATGGTGATGGAGTATATTTGAACGTTTCTGTATCACCGACCAAGCTGTAAATAAAAATCAATAAATCCACATGTTTTCTTTTAAAAAATTTATAAGTCGAATAAATTACACAAAATATATAACCAAAGCAATTTATTGCCGAAAACTGCATCCAAAAATACACACATCATAATCATAATGATTATAATGTAATAAAACGGAAACACACACTACTTTGTATCGTAGGATCTCAGCAATTACAGCATATTTTTTAATAATTCTTTTTTTATGAAAAGCCCTACACTTGCGTCACGCTTTAAGCTATATTTTTTAACGCCATTAAACTTATGGGGTAAATATTTTGGATAAAAACCCTAACGTGGGAAAGAGACCAAAAGTTGCTGCCAACATCAAGGAATCAAGATTACCATGGTACGGTAATTTGTATTTTGACATTTGTAATCAATTTTCAAGAATTTGACAAATGTAAACAATAAAATTTTACGCAGATGAAGCCGCACGGGAACAGCTAGTATTTCTGCATACTAAATACTTATACTAATACATGGTAGTTTATACTATGAAATAAAAATCAATCTAATGACTCTTTCTAACAACTTAATTATTCGTCCGCATAGACATTTAGCAATTGTTTTAAAAGTTTTAATAACATAAGGTAATATAAACGTTATTCCACTAACCTTTAGGTTGAGATTCCATTATTTCTATATCAGTTCGATTTAATTCTTTAATCAATACTAGATCTTGTATAACAGTGGACATTGCACCAGAATTCCTTCCGGAGAATGGTTCAAAGAGATGTCTCTCTCGGCAGTTGACTGATTTATAAATATTATGATCAATTGAAATACGACATTTGCTCTCTGATTTTAAAACTGGCCATGTTTGAAATTTCTGAAATTTAATAAAGAAAAAATAAAATAACAAACGAATCAATATTACTGCTACTCAGTCATGGAAGATCCTTCATTAAGGTTTAAATTTAAGAGATTCAAACAAGATAGATACTTGAATACTTAAAAGACATATAACCTTACAAATAAACGCGTTATAAAATTAACATGGGAATAAACCGAGTATAAGTAAGAATTTCTACTAATATTTCATTCATTAACAGCGTTAGGTCGTCCACTGCTGAATATTTCATTATCTTGTTTATTTATAAGGCTGGGAATTTTTAATTTTTCTATAACATAACTGTTTTGAATATTATTAGGATAATATTTGAATGTTTACATTTTTAGAGATTGCTTAACATTTACTGTATAATAAAAGATTGAAGCTAATTTTGTGAAATGTTATATAATAGTCAATACATAAGGTAGCACTAAACTTGACAACTAATATAGTACATTTCAAAGAAAGTACTGGAAGATAAAATTTTGTTCACGGCCTTGTCTATACATTACTTAAATGTACAAAAAAACAATTGACAGTTATTTGGATACTCCACAATTTTTCTAATTAACCTTGAAAAGACTCAAAAACTTAAAGAACATAAACAAAAAGATTTCTAAATATTAACAAATTGAACTAAACATAAACTTACACTTTGGAAGTCATATCGGACAGTCTGTAGTATAGACATGTATTTATATCTATCTGTGCAGAGTGCTAAATCCCTCTTCTTCACCAATATCAAGCTGGTATTCTCCTGACCCCTAACTGTGTACTCCACATTGCATGTGCCGTGGATGTCTTGCTGGAAGGAAAATCATACTAATATTAAAAATGCTGACAGCTGATAGAAATGTATGGAAGAGCAGCACATACTTTGCCAACCCTTTATAAGGGATAAGGGCAAGTTGATGATTATTATAAATGCAGACTTTGGATGGATGTTTTTAAAGAAATCTTAATAAAATTTAACAATGTAGTTAGTCTGGAACACACACTACTTTAGATACTAGATGCTTCTCATTGGATACCTTAATTTTGTTTTTACATGTTGACTTGATAGTTGTGAACCAGTTCCAAATGTCTTATAGAAATTTGGCACAGACATAAAACAAAATCTGGAGTAAGAATGAGATATGGTTTATTTCTGAAAATTGTCAGGTTCCCGAGGGATACAGTATTTTTTTTATATATTTATATAGGCAACAGATTGTTATATATTTATTATTTCTCTTATTTTATTTATTAAAATCAAGTTAACAGGTGATCAGTTTAAATAAAGATTGATTAAATTTTCATACCTCAAATCCATTGAAGTTTATATCAAATCTCTTCATACTATTTTGGAAGAGAGATAAAATGGCTCTTTTGAAGTTAAGAACCCAATCTTCTTCCAACAGATTGGGACATATTTCTGATATGACACCATCATGGAATGCAAATCTACAACAGAAAATTATAAAAGTTTTTTTTTTATAACATACGGTGGCAAACGAGCAAGCGGTCACCTGAATCTGCCAAAATAGCGAATCGACTGCTGCCCATAGACATTTGCATTTGCAGATGCGTTTCTTACCCTTATCCAACAGAGGAGGAGACACACATGAAGAGAATATCTCCTCTTCCTACGCATCTCCTCCACCGTCAAATCCACTTCCTCCTCCCAACCTCCCCTTATAAGAAAAGGGTGGTAAAGAGAAAGGGACTTAAATTAGGCCTCCGGCACCTCACTCATCAGACGAAACACGGAATTGCTTCCATGTCACGCCTATCTTCTGTGTGGTCGTGGTATTACACCGGGCGTGCCGGCCCATTCGTGCTAAGATGTTAAAGCGGGCAATACCACTATTTTATTGGAAAAAGTCTTGTTTCTGTAGCCGCATGGAAACAATTAACATAATAATTGAAAATCATATAAATCATATTGCATGGTAACGGTTAATTCTATTTATGCTATTTAATCTTACTAATGTCCCTAATATTATAAATGCAAAAGTTTGGATGGATGGATTTTTGTTAGAATTTGTAGCATAAATGGCTGAACAGATCTTGATGAGATTTGGCACAGATGTAGAGGATAGCCTGGAAGAACACATAGGCTACTTACTTTTGTTTTTTTTTTAATTCCAAGCAAATGGAGTTGTAGGCAAAAGTTTATAATTGCTATGTTTAAGGAAATTTTACTACCTGAGATCGAATTGTGACACAGCCTGTATGAACTTCTCAGATCTTTCAACAGCATAATTTTCATCTTGATCAGTTAATGTGATCTTCTGCAGCTGTAGGAGACCTTCACAGGGTGTTATAAATTGTACTTTTACCTGTAAATAATATAATCGGCATTTAAATCAACATAATATCTTGTAGTTACTTTTGAAGCATAATGAAACAGAAAGGTATAATCTTTATTTTTTAAAAAGTTTTAAAGTCGATACTTACTTCTGCTGTAACATCTAATGTTGAACGGTTGTTACTGGACCCAGCAAAATATGTCTCCACATTTACATTATAATTGTAATAATATACTGTTTGTGCAAGATATTTGAACTTCTCCGATGCTAGAAAAAATTTTTTCGTTAATTTTTCACTCCGATACTGAGAATATATAATATTTATAACTTGTTTTACTTTATCTTTAGTTTAAACTATAGGGTAGAAAATTAATACAATTTTGATAAAATTAAAAATAATTACCCGCACACGAAGGTGGTCCACAAATATATGGATCTTTCAAAGAATCTGAAAATTAATTTCATAAGTCAGTTTTATTAAGACTGCATTTTTAAAAACTTGATGAGATGATTACGTTTTAGGAAAATTCAGCATTTAATTAATTGAACATGTAATTTATTTACAAACAAATAGTTGTCAAAGTCAAACGACTCCTAATGTTGCCAATTGTCAATTTGACAGTGTTGCCAGTCGAGACTGACCGTGTTGAATTAAAAACCCAAAGTAGTTCAAATATAAATGTAAATGGGAAGTCTTTAAAATGGTTATCCCCTATTGTTTACTATAAAACGCAAATACAACCAAAAATAACTAAATCCATCTATTCAATTACCAAACAAGCAGTGCCTAAAATAAAGTTATTTTCTTGTTAGAGTAGAACTGGCCTATTTAGATAAATATGCAACCACTAATTAGACCGAAGATCGTACTAAAAGTCCGCTTAAATGGTAAACAGCTTGTAAATAAACTGATAAGGTTATGAGCAGTTAGGATAGTCCAGGAAACAATAACTTGTTAGTTTTTTGTAATACAAAATATATAATACATATTAAAAATAATAAAAGAAAATACAATACATTATAGTACTATACATTATAGTAATTTATATCTTCCGTTTTGTTGATGTCTCTTTATATTTTCACATTCCTATGTTTTAATTTCATTGACGAATTCCATTACAGTTTTAAGTTTAAAACGCCGTAATTTATATAGCTCTTGTATAAACTTTTGATTATAAATATAGTGAAATTCATGTTTTAAAAGTCAGTATGTAACTGTAACATTCATATTGATATTATGTACATTTCTGATGTTTTTCAACATGTTGGTGTTCTTGGGAGTGTTTTATAAAATGAAATAATTATTTCATGTATTTAATGAATAAATAAATAAATATGTAACATACAAATTATGCCAAGTTATTAAAAAAAAATACCATGATGTTATTATAATGATATAACATAAAAGCACATTTTTATTCGTTAATGTTTAGTTTGTATAATATTGTGTAACAATAAGCCATGTGGAATAAGAATAAAATCGCTCTCTGACCTCTCAAGACCATGTCTAACATGATAAGGTACCTACGTTATCAATATTTCGTTTTTAAAAATTACTACTTGTTCATAAACTATTTTTATATTTATACGTAAGATTCCTCAGCTTCAGGTTCTTATCAAACACTTTAATACAAGAATTATCATATCTTATTTATTAATTTTCTTAAAACTTGTCTAATTTTCCCTTGACGGAAAATATTAAAAGATTTTTCGGATAAATCATGCTGGATTATGATTTGCTTTTAAATTTAACTAAAGTGTTACATTAACAAGGATTTAACTATTCATTAATTTAAATCCGAATAATTACAGTTTTATAGATACCCTCAGATTAAAAAACATAAATATGATATTCTAAGAAATAAATTCATAAAATAAACATACTTCCTGATCCGTGTACAGCACTAATTATGCACAAACACACGAAAAACACGCACAAATTCATTTTGTGGTAAAAATTTTAGCACACCATTTCGACAGGCGTTTCTTTCGCACACCACCGTTCAAATGACAAAATCCTAATGTAATATCATGGGGTCGAAGTTTGGGGTCAGAGTAAACTCTGTTATCACTAAATTATCTATGACAGGACGCGGACGAGCCAAGTTGGACACGCTTGTTGTAATTTGTAATAAATAATAATTCAATGAGCAAACATCATTAATAAGATGTAATGTGGTAAGTAGGCTGAACATGTTGTTATTACTTATCCGGACAGTTTGTTTTCTGAGTCATTTTTATGAGATTTTAGCTCTTCTTTCCCTCTTTTGCTAATGCCAATATATGAAATTTGCAGGGGAATTCAATTACTTACAAGCGTTTCTTTTGTAGGAACATGCTAATATTTTTATGTAAATGATAAATATATATTTACCTTTATCTTTGTACATTTGTGAAGAGCTTTCTACTGAACATATCTACCTCTTCTATTCTACATTATTATTTGAGGGTACTAGTTGCAACATATTTTTTTATGATAATAGTAAACATGTGGACACCGTAATGTATATTTGTAGGGTCGTCAAACAGCGGGAAGTGAGCGGAAACCGTGATGCTTACGACCGGGTCCCACTCGGAACAATCATGGTACGTGATTAATTTGATTGTTTGATGTTTACATTATGGTTGAATAATATTTCCCTAAAGTTATCAGCAAATTACTTAAGGATATACATAGATCTAAGTTATACTTTACTTAGCAACAATAGCAACCCAAGGATTAAGGAACGAAGATTGCTGATTCAGCAATAGCAGCAGGTGCAAAAAACAAAGATTTAAGTCGAGTAAGCTGTGTTTCCCATTGGCCCATTGAACGGTCCAACGGGAAATACCTAAAGGACAAGATTAGCAAATATTTGGCTAACTCTTAAATGTACAATCTTTCTTTTAAATTCAAATTCAAGATTATACCAAAGTTCCTTTGTTTGTAGAATTGCTGTTTAGAAAACAATAATAATTGTTATTACAAGTCGATTAGAGCATCCGTTCGTTTTTGATTACTTTGATGTTCGTCGAAAAATTTAACTGATAGCTTTCTAGGAATTCTGGCTCGTTGTTTACCCGTAACTTTCAAACAGTTGTGATATTTTTAGGTTATAAAATTACTAGCTGTTTCTCGCGACATAGCCCGCGTGGAATAAAAACATAGCCTATGTTACTCACTGATAACATAGCTTTTTAACTGTGAAAGAATTTTTGAAATCGGTCTATCTGTTTTTGAGTTATTTGAAAACATACAAAAATACAAATCTTTCCTCTTTATAATATTAGTATAGATATTCATTAATGGTTATTATTTTATTCTAGTAATGTAAACATAATTATTGGCAAATGGGTTAAACATTTTGTTGGTTATGATAAAATGAACTTTAACATTATATTGTTAAAATTCAAATTAAAATCCATTGTAGGCATATTGCGTGACAATTTTTAGCTATTACGTTCTGGGAATTCTGCAAATTGCTAACGTATAGGACGCTCAGCTCCATATTGTCGTTAGAGGTTTTATTTTATTTTGATGCTCAAAATTAGATAGATTTATTTATTTTTATTTCTATGAAACTATCTGTATGTAATAATTTATGAAGAATTTTAATAATAATAAATATTTACGATCTAAATTCCTTTAAAAAGGTCTGCACAATAAAAGTCGAAATAAATTAACGGATCGATGTTGACTTTTTCGTTCCAGTTATCGAGGAAATTGCGAGCACAAAAACTTGCACCGACTCGAAGTCAGGCTGAGAAAAAACATTTGACTGAGATGCAATTGTTGTTTCGGCAATATGGAGTGACGCGTATGGATAAGGCAAGGTATGTGTACGTGATGATATTCCAAAGTGTCTCGAAAAATTGTATAGGGTTGTCAATTTTTAGACAGGACAATTTAAAAGATTTGATCTTGAAATTGATTAAGTTGCTTTAATTTTGTACACCTTATGTGTACACCTTTATAAAAACAAAAGAAGTTTTAAATACGATACATATTAGGTTCAGTTACATCAAGACATATTTACCTCGTGATTAAAATTTTTGTGATGGTAACTGTTGGTTACCACTGCAGTTTTAATATGCACATAAACATGAGACCCCCTTCTATCTTGTAAACCCAGCTGCATGTTTCTGATTACACTGATCAAGGTTTAGTTACTAATTATTTTTCTTTTGAACCCTAGGTTTGGTAGAATTTGTTATCTTATGATAATTTGGGTTATGTTTTTGTACGAACTTTTTTATTTTGTATCTTGAATGCAGCTAACGCGAAAATTACCTCATGTTACATTCATAACGTGTTGTAACGATATTAAATCAATATTTTGTCGAAAAATTGAATTTATGTAGACATACCTTTATACGTGTTTTATATTAAAAAAACAATTCTTTCAATGCAGTTTCAAAGATTCTTTCATCGTTTACTCTTTGACGTTTTTAATTTATTTTTAACGCAAAGGACAATTAAATGTTGATATAGATACTGCCACTCCGAGTACAGATTTAATAATAAATCTGCACTAAGCATAGCCCTTAGTTTAGCAGATAATCTCTTTACAAGTTAGAAGACTGTGTACTCTTTACAAATAGTGTTTAACAAAAGATTAAAAGTTTGTTTCTATTCCAAATCGAAGGCAAAAACGTGGCTCAGATTTTCACTGATACGTCCAACAACGAGACAACAACGCAAGTCAATAATCATCTGATTGGCTCGAGAATACGGGAACAGATATGCCATTGTACAAACTTTTAACGTGCACATAACTACGACTCTAAATCCTAACGGATAAGGTTGATTTCAGCTTGTTACAAACAGTATAAAGTTTGACACTTTAATTGGCCTTCCGATGGAACGCAAATCAATAAGGGCAGCTACACACAGTCTGATACAGTCAGTTTTGTTTGCATATACCCAGTTGTGAATACAAGTTCTAATAAGATAAATATGGACAAATTTTCGCCCGCGATTCCGTCCGCGTGTGATTTAAAAAAACAAAAGTGAGTAGCCTATGTGTTCTTCCAGACTATCCTCTACATCTATACCAATATTTCATCGAAATTCGTTCAGTGATTTTAGCTACAAACTCTAACAAACATCCATCCATCTAAACTTTCGCATTTATAATATCAGTATGATAATATGATAGAGATTATCCCAATTAGTTTAAAAAAAGATAACGATTTCTATCTTTATAAAGACAAATTAAAAAATAAACAAGCAAAATAAGTAATAATTTCTTTATTAAAAACTACCTGTTGCTCGCGAATTCGTCCGCGCGAAATTAAAAAATAAACTTTTTAACAAAAAAACAAAACCGACTTCCAAACAAAATACACTAAAAACAAAACAAAATATTCTCAAAAAAACAGTACACTAAAAAGTAACGAAATAAATACTTGAAAATAGTAAACCTACCTTATTGTAACTGTTATGTCTATATTGTACAATTATTACTACTTTGATGTCAGTTATGCCGTAACACACATAAAAAAAAAAACATACAGACGAATTGAGTACCTCCTTCTTTTGGGAAGTCGGTCAAAAAATAACAGCATAGCTATTCATTGAAATCTGCCCAGTAGTTTTTGAGTTGTCTCAATACATAAAAAAATCTTTCCTCTTTGTAATATTATTATAGATGTTATCGGAATATCATTTAAATATTTAGATACTTTAAGTTTAATCTTAAGTGTGGATATTTTTTAAATTTTCAATGTCTTATTTGTGGAGACGTTAACTTTTTTACATTTAATATATGTTCCAAACATGGTAATGGATTAGCTTAGACATTCAAACTCGCTATATATTAAGTTCTTTATACGTATATTATAAATATCAACCATTTATGGTTTGTCATTCGTATTCACTTTTAAGGCATACCATGTAATAAAAACCTTTCGGACGGAACAAGAATGATTGCGTCTTCAAATGTAAAAATTCCTTACCTAAAGTAGAAAATTAAGATAAAAAAAGGGAATTTTAAAATCAAATTATACAAACGAATCGTCCAAAAACAAATCTAGAATGGTTTTTAAAATAAGGTTAGGTTTAAGATTTACTCCTTATAATATCCATCGTCATTTTTACTTTAAAAAGTTGTTTTCTCTAGAAGTTTCTGTAATCATCATATCCCTTTCCTTCTCTTTGATAAGTTTTTGTTCTAAAGACTGATCTTCAGTTATCTCAGTCTTCGCTTTCGTCTTGAAGTTTCTTCATCAGGTATGATAAAAAAATACTGACAAATTACTTGACTTCTAAACCGTATAGTTAAAACATTGGTTGACACTGGCACACCTATTTAGCCATAAAAAAATAAATTATGTATATACTAGCTTTTGATTGCGGGGCGTGGAATTAAAAACAAAACAAAAGCCAGCTATTTGTTCTTCCAAACTATGTTCTACATCTACGTCAAATTTCATCTAGATCCGTTCGGCCGTTTAGGCTACAAAGTGTAAAACGCATCCATCTAAACTTTTGCATTTACAATATTAGTAAATTTAATTCTTTGGCATTCAGCAACTGAAATCTTGATCTCTCCATCGTTCAATGTATCGATGCTTTACTAATCGATAATTACTATAAAATGTATAAAGTCTATGCAATATAATGTATATTGCTATTACGGCACAATAGATCATTATTGCTATCAAAAAGTTACAGGCGCTAATTTCATAACCTAAGACCACTTAAATTAAAGAAAGTAATTTAATTAAAGAACTAGATAACGCCAGTTTGAGCAAATAGTATTCATTTACGTTGAGTTCTCTGACAGAAACAGAATCCGCTTGTCAAATCCCGAGCGATTTTCTGCAGTAAAGGCACCCTTTGGAGACGAGTCGTGGCAAAATAGAACGTCTAATTAGGACTCGAGAGTGCGGGCGACGATTTCATTACAAATGTATGAAGCCAGCACAGGGACGTGGCTTGCAAGCACACGACCTGTACAATGCTCCTTCCTTGGCGTAAAGTGACCAGTTTAACAAGACACTCACTAGCCCTTTAGTCGCTTAAATTATACAAGAGACTCCTGTACACCGTGTGAGCTAGGGAGATCATGTTACGGTGGATACTGATTCCCAGCTCTTTCCTGCAACGCACGACAAAAAGTCGAAACGTGTGGGACTGCAGACGAACCCGTTTCACCATACAAGGTCTTCGGCGACGGGCCGCTTCCCAACGCAACAGCACACATAATATTGTTAGCTGCCGACGATGGCTTTTTATGTCCGATGCATTATTCGATACTCATTTAAAATTCTAACATGAGCTTATAAAGAGAGTTCGCCATTTTCATGCGGTCCCCTGCTGACGGCGGTCGTCTTTACACGACTGCGAGCGCATCGAATAAAGCGTATTTGTATTAAATACGGACGGTTTCGTGTTTTATTGCTTAAATTTATTACGCAAATTCTCTTTAGCCCGCACGCGTAGGTTTTGGCGCCCACGCGTCAAAAATCGCGGGGGCGAATACGGAGGCTTCGCGCTCAAACGTGCGCGCGCGCCGACTGACACACACGTTTCGATAAAAAGTACTTTTTTAAGCAAAATACAAAAAGAAATTCGGAACGGTATTCAAAAACCAGTTATAAAAGTGCTTCAGTGTTGCCAGTGACACGAATTTCGAGGTGTCAGTTTTTGAATATCGAATGACATATACGGATGTTTTGTGTTTTATGAATGGAATGGGATAGGAAGTGACGTGATGCATAGTGCTGCGCCCGCGTCGGCCCGGTGGGCGCCTCTTTGTCGACAATGAGCGGTCGTTAGAGCGGAAAGGTGAGTGTAAAGAACGATTCATTTTGTTTAGACTGCGTTGAATTACATTCATTCAGGGCTTTATCGCCATTGACAATGTGTTCAAACTCCGTCTCTGTCAATGTTTATGTTTCTATACACAAAATCAAAACATAGGAAACATATCTGGTTAATTAATAAAACTTAAATGCAAATAAAAAACAATGATATGTCTATTGATCAGAGCATTTTCTATCTTACTACTATTATAAATGCGAAAGTTTAGATGTATGGATTTTTGTTAGTTATAAGCCTAAACGGCTCAACTAATCTCTGTACTTTGGCATAGACGTAGAGGATAGTCTGGAAGAACATATATGCTACTGACTATTGTTTTTAACTCACGCGCACGGAGTCGCGGGCGAAACCTAGTATATAATCAGCAAATATGCTGCTGTAATTAAATTTAAAGAGAATTTTACTTTCCTTATATCTCTCGATATTTGAATGGAAATCGAACCTAGAACCTCCGCGGTTATGAGCTAGCCTAACTAATATAGTCGGATTGAATTGACTATCGTAGAATGCTGACATCATTGTAATGTTACCTCCAAATGTTCACCACTAAAATAAATAGATAAGTTTTAAGAAGTAACGGGGTTTAGGTTAAAAGAGGTCATGAAGTTAGAAAAGGAAAATGCTATGGACCTTTTAGAACCTAAGTTTTTTTGTAGTAGGAAAGAAAGAAATGAATTCAGCGCCAATAGCCTAATGGGGCTACGGACTACCGATCTCGAGGGAAAACTATATAGTTCTAATAGTCGAATGGCGGGATTCGAACCCTCGACCGTTGTGAAGGATATCCTAGCACAAGCCTAGAGCTTAGTTGGAATGGTTAAAGGAAATATTAATAGACTAGTTGTTCCCGTGCGACTTCATCCGCAAAATGACATAGACATCATGACAACCTTGCTTCCTTGATGTTGGCAGTAACAAAGCGTGTGTTTACGCTTTATTATAATAGTATAGAAGTATAGAATAACAAAAATCTATTTCTATTAAAAAAAAGAAGTGAAGTAAATAGTGAATTGCTGTGTTATTACATAGTTTACATAACTTTGTTATCAACGTTTGCAATCTACGTTCTCCATAGAAGTAAGTGGCTATGAAGCTTCACATACATAATTACAGTTAACTAGGTGTTGCTCGCGATTGCGTCCACGTAAAAAATTGTAAAAACACGGCCTATTTTACTCTCGGATAAAATACCTTTTTAAACGTGATTTTTTTTTAATGGGCAGTAGTTTTTACGATAATCAAATACATACAAAAATCCAAATCTTTCCTCTTTATAATATTGGTATAGATACAAAAGTATTTTGGAAATCAATTGATTTACGTTAGTTATGAATATAAAATAATAAATTGAATGTATTTGAAATGTGAATATCTACATAAAATTCAGTATATTTTAGATTATATGTTCTACCTAATAATTCACGTTAAATTATTATTCCTATATGTGTGTACTGTATCATTTTATGTCAAGATGTTTTGATTTTGTTTTAATTCGAAAAAAAAACAAAAACAAACGTAATTATGTATTTTCAAATGTCGAACTTTGTATAAAAATGACGCTCGCTCACACCTTCAGTTTTAGACACGTAAGAATTGAACTAAACAAGCCGAGTTTTCAATTAAAATTGAACAGGTCAATCTTAAACTATTGTCGGCTTTATAACCGTTTAACTTTGTAAATTCTGTCCTTGGATTTAGTACTAACATAAGTGGTTGAATGGCCGTTTCTTGTAGTTTAGAAATACCTCTCATCTATAAAGGCGTAACTGAACAAATATGCTATTTAAATTACTTACATACAAAACATTTGAATGTTGCGTGGGTGAAAATGCGCCTCGAGCGATACATTACGAAACCATGCCCGGTTTCTTTGGTGTTTCTTACTGTGGGTTTCGATTGCTGACATATTTGTATTAACATATTGGGGTCCCTTTTTTGTCAAAGATAATGAAAAGGATGGAAACATCAATACAAATATCTGGAGTTCTGCAGTTATATATTTCTAGAATGATATTTGCGGCAGTTCTGTTAATCTATGTCATATTTCATAGATGTAAATATTCGTAAAGTGTTAAAATAGATATAAAAGTTATTTGGAATAAGACATTGAAATACCATAGACCTAGCTTAGATCAGAATGTAATGAACTTCTGGTAGTTTTGTAATGTAGTATGTAAACCTTATTTAGTATTAGATCATATAAGTATTAACAAAACAAATTGTATTTGGATTAATACATTGCATTTGGAATAACATCAGAATTCACGACTTTTTCCATACTTAATGTTTTTTTAACTAATTTTTTTTTTGTTCATTTACTAATATTTCCTTTAACCACTCTAACTAAGCTAGGCTTGTCCTAGGACATGGTTCAGGACATTAATCGAATGGCGAGATTCAAACTCTCGATCGCAAGATCGGTAGTCAGTAACACAGACCATTAGGCTATTGGCGCTTGAATTAACATTAATTATTTATTTAATATGTTAATCTTACTAATATTATAAATGCGAAAGTTTAGATGGATGTTTGTTAGAGTTTATAGTCTAAACTGCTGAATGGATCTTGATGAAATTTCGCATAGATGTAGAGGGTAGTCTGGAAGAACACATAGGCTCATACACTTTTTTTTTAATTTCACGCGAATAGAGTCAGGGGCGAAAGCTAGTGATTGATAAATATTGAGTTTAATTCGTTAATCTACGTCAACATTTATTGATTTAGTTATTTTGTTAGAACTAAAACTTAACAGGGAATAGAGATGATAAATTAATAACGTAATAGTATAATGTAATATTCAATATTGAAGATATTACAGCATAACTCGTGTTGATAGCTTTAATCTGAGACTAATATATTACGGGCTGCGGATTCCTGAGCACGTATGTCGTTAATGTCACCATCTATTGAATGTATTCTACACTATGTTAGATATGTCGCTCTTGCTTTCAATTTTCATATAAATATCCATCAAATCTGAATTATTAATAGTTCAATACTCAACCAAGAACCGTATGTGGCTTCCCACATTAAGCTAACCAGGCTCAAATGGACTGGTCACGTGCAGAGGATGGACGAAGTCAGGATGCCAAAATCCCTTATGGCGAGCAACCTTAAAGGTCGTCGAGATTGAGGAAGACCAAAGTTGAGATGAGTAGATGGTGTAAATCTTGACGCAAAGAATGTTGGCATAATATACTGGAAATCGGTAGCCAGTAATAGACCGAAGTGGAAAAAATTGCTTGACCAAGCCAAGGCCCACAAAGGGCTGTAGAGCTAAGGACGAAGAAGAAGATTTATACTCATAGACCGTGCGCACACTGAAACTAAACTATCGCACAACTGTTTAGCCTCGCTTTGATTCCTATGAGCTTATATGAAGGTACATAAATTGGCTAAACAATCGATAATCGCATAGTTGTGCGATAGTTTAGATAAAGGTGTTGCCCATTCGAAATCAGAGAAAATTTGAATCGTTGCAATGTCATTACAAAGCTCACTATACTACTATATAAAATATCAGATACTAAAAGATACTAAAAGTTCAGAGCATGTCCTATGTTGGGATCTACGCCAGTCAACCAGACTACTGTCTGGTTGACTTCAACGTATCTTTGAAGTTGTCGTTGCCGTGTACATTGTATCAGTTCTTATTTTGCAGTTGAAAAACAAGCTGCGTCCTTCTGGTTACTATAGCGTGTCGTCGCAAAACGTAGAACAAGGCTAGATTCCCTGATTATACAAACGTTAGGGCTAACATTTTTTTTTGGTTATCAATAGCTTCTTAGTAATGATGTTATAATTTCCGTTACAAATAACAGAGGCTTTTGGTAACAAACATTTTCGATTATACGTGGAAAAGTCCTCGTTTAATTATAACGTCATTTTACAAAGTACGCAACACAATCTACGCAATAAAGGTACATACGATCACAATCATGTTTGAGGTGAGGGTTTCCATTGACAAAATATATGTACAAAAACATAATGCTGTCTCCTTTTTTCAAAAAGAATTAGTGAGATGGTAATACAGGTTTGTAGAGGCTATGCAATGGAAACCATTGTTTAGATTACTCATAATCGGCATCGCTGTGTATTGATTTTTAGAGTCAATAAGAAAGGAACTAAGCTATGTATATTACTTTCGCCAGCTTTATCAATAACAAATAACAGGCTATATTTTGGAGAGTGCGCAGGAACTGCACGATACCACCGTCACCAATTTACCATCGGATGGTCAGGCATACGGCCAGATACCATCCTTTTGTAGTTGATGTACCGCGACTTCGAATGAAAAAGTTTGAATCGTCGTTCTTTATGCGTACTCCAGTACTGAAACTAGTTGCCGGCCTCAGTTTTTCCGTCCAAATATATTATCGTGACATTACTAAAGCAACTAAAACCCGGCTTGTAAGATCACTTGTGTTCTCCATTTTCTTGTACGCCTCTGAAATATGGACGAGTCCATAGAACGCTTGGTAGTACAGGGTAAGGTGGAGGGCACCAGACCTAGAGGAAGATCGGCTATAAGATGGACTGATCAGATTAGAACGGCTATGGACGTACCTTTGCATCAATGTGCGAAAAAAGCAGCGTACAGGGAGGAGCGGCGGCGTCTTGTGAAGCGGGTCACTGATACGTGATAACCACGACGAGTCTGCAAAGACTCAAGCGACAAAGAAGAAAATGTTATGGAGATCTTCAAAAGAAGTGTAAACAGCTACTTATTAAGCTAGCGCGTACCATAAACATAAAAAAAAACAACATTAAAAAATTCAATGATAACCTTCGTTTTCATTGAATGATATACAATTTGTTATTCAGCCGGAAGTTGTCCGCGCATTATACTACCAAACAAGCGTTTACTATACGGAATATTGCAACACTGGGATCTAGAAACATCGACAACAGACATCAAATACTTAATCCGTTTATTCAGTTTGATTTATATCTATACTAGTATT